CCTGATGCCTCGGTCTTGGCGCAAGGTAGCGGCCGGAACTGGCGATTTGCATCAGGTGCCAGCCGCCGGCCACCTGGGTTTGTGGCGTGTGGCCTGTGGGCCTTGGCGATAAGAGCCCCCTGGCTCTGCAGAGGCTGTACGCCGAGCGCTTTGCCTCCCTGCCAGGAAGGGTTTTACTGCCAGCAATTTTTTTTTGTACCGTATTACAGCGAAACGATGAGACTGTTGGAGAAGCTTAAGTGCTCGTAGTGGAGTTAGTGCCTTACCACTGGCCGTGCTGTATATTGTAAAATAGATTTTAAGAAATACTCTGCTATTTCCTAACATTGTTTGACTTGGAGTGTGACACCTGAAGTAGCCTTCTAAGTAGGCCAAGGTCAGTGTTAATCTTTCAGCTGCCCTTCTGCTCATTTGCTTGTAAAACAGTATCTGGTTTTGACTGAAGCTTGTGCTTGGATTAGAAATAAAGATCACCAAACGTGAAAGGTACGTTAGTTTGGAAACTGTGATGTTTCCATGGAGATGGGGATATAAGAAAACTCAAAGATTTCGGAGCTGTAGACTCACACTCTTCCAACAGACTGAATCTTCAGCAGACGGTGCAGTAACATGAGGTCACTTTCTACTTCTGCTGTTACTTTAAAGTGGGTTAAAGTTTTCCTGCTAGAGGCTGGTAATGTAGAAGATCCTAGGACAGGGCTCTTAAAAGAAGCTGTATTCCCAGCTGCTCAGAAGGAAGGGCGCTATACCACTGGCAGACCTGGCTTGCGAGATCTTCAAGTAATATAACTGCATTTCATGTAGAGCGTAGGAATTATGTAAACTACTAATTAGGCTGTTTGTATCTTAAGGCTGTGACTAGGAACATGGGAGGACTGCTTATCTGTTCTGGTCCATTTCTGGCCTACCTTAATAACCCCAGAATCTGCTGATTACACAGTAGGACAAAATTGGCTCCACTTAGGTGGGTCCCTCTTTCCCCAAACACATAATCTAACTCCCATTTTAAAACCTTAAAGCGGTGCTCTCCAAAGACTAGTATTCTGCTATTTTTGTGTACTAAGGTTGCTGTGGTTTTGAAGCTGACCTTTTTACTATTATAAAAACATCATTAAGAAAACGAGAAAGGCTGTAAATGTGGTCGTGAATGTGAAAAAATCAAATGTACCAATATTAATCTTTGTCATAAGTCCACTGTAAGCTATCCCAAATGTTCTTTCCTGTTTGGTTCACGAAATGGGTGATGGAAAGGTAAATCTAAAGCTTCATGTGCATTCAAGCTGTCATAAAAGCTTACCCTTAGTAAAAGGGAGAGGTCTTGCCCTTGTATTTCCCTGGTCTTGACTGCACGGTCCTGTTCCCTACTTTGTGTTGTTGCTGGATTCTTACTGAGATGCTGAATTCTTACTTCCCGCTGGATTCTTACTGAGATGATGTGGTTTTCTTTCACTCAAATGGCTTTTCTTTGCTGTTCTGCTGGGTTAAAGTCAGCTCACAAGTATGTCCTTGGTGACAGGACAGTAAGTTAAGGGAGGCGGGAGGAGCAGAATCCTTTCCCCTGTTGGCAGTGGTGCACACAGATTGGTTTCCCATTGAACCACACCTTCAACCTTAGATTTCTTTGGCTTACCTTGGTTACATTCTTCGTTTCTACTTTCAGTGTAAAGAAGGTAACAACTTACCTATTTTTCTGTTCTTACAGGAAGAGGATGATTGGAAGGAGTTTGAGCAAAAGGAAGAAATTGATTATAGTGGTCTTAGAGTTCAGTCCATGCAAATAAGGTATTTTTTTTTTCTTTTTCTCTCCCCTGTAATCATTACCTGTGTCTGAAAAGTATGTTCTTTCTCCAGAGCTGCCTCTGTGGAATCCAATTAAACAGAGGTTTGATGTGTTTCTGCTAGTATAGAAGTTTGCTGTGATGTAATTTATGTTTGCCTGTTCTCTTCAAACGATGTTCTTTTTATTTTCTAAATCTCTGTTGATATTCTAGGACTATCTGTTTTGGCTGGGACTCAAATTCTTATTAAAAATGCCTGACATTCCCCTCCATAAAGATAGTAAAATAGGAATTTCTCTGAGAGGAGCGCAGGATGGTAATACCCTTACAGCAGTCAAATGATTCAGTGGGAATCTGACTCAATCTATTCAGCATCTCGGTTTGGGGAGAGAATTCCTGAACCATTGCATTTTTATTTCAAAAAACCGAAAATATAGTTGGTAAAACTAGTGTGCCATGACAGGATCCCACAGGACTGCATTTGAGTCTCATCCAAAATTCTTTGCTTTTTCATTAGATTGTTCCTGTAGTCTGGTCCAAAGTAAGTCTACTTAAGTCTGTCCAGGTTAAGAAAAACGTTTCATCTGGTCAGAAGAAGGATTTTTATGACCTCAGTCTTAGACTGAGAATCTCACACAATCCTCATTGTTCCTGGATTGGGACAATTGCTGATGTTCAGAATAACATCTTAAAATCATCTTACCTGCAACCAGGGTGATAGATGCTTTCTTCACTGTTTGAGCAGGTCTTACATATTCTTTGATTTATTTATTTATTTGGCCCACAAGCTCTCCATACCATTGAAGTGTCACAGCAGATAATCACATGTCTGAATGGACAAGTAACAAGTGGGCTGCTGCTTCACTGACTACCAGTGCTGTTTGATTGAAAAGCGAGTACTTTGGTTTTCCAGACAAAGGTCGGCATTCTGAATGCTTTTGATGCTGTGGCAGATTTTTAGGCATGTGGAAGCTTCTGCCACAGGATTTCATAGCCAGCTAGTGGATTCAAGGGGAGAGTGGGGAAGTAAATGGAAGAAAAACCCACTAGAGGTTATAAATTATCCAGCTCTGGAGATCTCTTTGCTGAAAATAAGCCACAGAGTGTCTGGCGGGGGTGGGATTGTTATGTGTACTTACTCTGTTCTAGCTAGTCTGTAGGCATCTGCTTTTGACTGTAGTTTAAAATAGGATAGTGATGTGTTTAGGCCCCTGGTCCAGCTTACTATGATTGTATTTGGATGAACAGTGAAAGGCCATTTGATTTTCAGAAATTACAAGTACTTCTAACTGTTCTCTGATTATTACTTACACAAAAAGCTTACTTATCATGATTAATAGGATTTGGTCTATTATAAACTACTTCTGTATGCACGCTTTGCTGCTGCTGTCCAGATCAATGTCTTGGGTTCTTTAACGGTCTCACCCTCCACGTATGCCCCGTTATACCACACAGCTCTCTCTAGTAGCTTTGTCTAGGAAGTTATGTTGAGTCTCTGACTAGTTCTATGCTAAACAAAGTAGTCTAAAGAAAATACAATCAGGCTTTTGCATAGTATTTATCTTTAAAAAATGGCATATCTTTCTATTTTTTTGATCACCTGCTTTAAAAAAAAAATCTGAGTTGTGTTGTAGAGTGTATTTGTATGGGTAATATGAGTGTTTCTCAGGTGGTTGTAGG